AGATACAGAGCTGTTTGATGCTAATTTGGAAAAGATGACGTTTCTATAACATAATAGGTTACTTAAGCACATCAGTAGTGAAATTACTACAGCTATTCATGACTTCCCCAGGCACAATAAGCTGAAAGAACCCTTTGGATTCTTCCCCTTCCCCCAGTCTGGATTAATTATAACTGAGGACTCTGAAAGGTTGCAGATTCCTCTGAGTTAGGAAAAGCATCCAGAACATGACTGCCTTAGTTGGTTGGAAAGCCTCTGGAGTGTACACTGGCTGAAATATGTAGTTAGACAGGCTCACTCACACACCAGGAAAAAATGGGAGCTGGAATAGCACAACACTGGGATTATTTGTGGTACTGAGGCAGGACACATTGTGGAAATCAGACTCATATAATTACAAAACACAGTAATACTCTTTCAGAAATGTGTTTGTTTTATCCAGGATACAGTTAGTAAAAAAGAAAACAAATGCTTAGTCTGTCATAGTTGCTAAAAAAACTTCGTGTATGTGCAACTTTCGTTTTGGCTACTACCTATTACATGTTCACAGAATGGTTTGGGTTGGAAGGGACCTTATAGATCACCCAGTTCCAACACTCCTGCCATGGGCAGGGACATCTTCCACTAGACCAGGCTGCTCAAAGCCCCATCCAATCTGGCCTTCAACACTTCCAGGGAGGGTGTATCCACAACTTCTCTGGGCAACCTGTGCCAGGGCCTCACCACCCTCATACTGAAGAATTTCATTCTCATATCTAATCTAAATCTACCCTCTTTCAGTTTAAAACCATTATCCCTTGTCCTATCACAACAGGCCCTACTAAAAAGTTTGTCCCCATCTTTCCTATAAGCCCCCTTCAGGTACTGGAAGGCTGCTCCAAGGTCTCTCTTTCCCAGGCTGAACAGCTGCAACTCTCTCAGCCTTTCCTCACAGCAGAGGGGTTCCAGCCTCAGATCACTGCTGTGGCCTCCTCTGGCCCTGCTCCAATGGGTCCATGTCTTTCCTGTGCTGAGGGCTCCAGAGCTGGATGCAGGACTCCCGGAGGGGTGAGGGTTTCACCAGAGCAGAGCAGAATCCCCTCCCTTGACCTGCTGGCCACGCTGCTCTTGATGCAGTCCACGATATGGCTGGCCTTCTGGGCTGAGAGAGCACATTGCTGGGTCATGTTGATCTTCTTGTCAACCAGCACCCTCAAGTCCTTCTTCTCAGGGCTGCTCTCAATCTGTTCTCTGCCCAGCCTGTATTTGTACTTGGGATTGCCCTGGCCCAGTTGCAGGACTTTGCACTTGGCCTTGTTGAACTTCATGAGATTCACACAGGCCCACCTCTCAAGCCTGCCAAGGTCCCTCTGGATGGCATTCCTTCCCTCCAGCGTGTCAACCGTTCCACACAGCCTGATGTCATTGGCAAACTTGCTGAAGGTGCACTCAATCCCACTGTCCACTTTGCTGACAAAGATTCTAAACAGCGCTGGTCCCAATACTGACCCCTGAGGAATGCCACTCGTCACTGGTCTCCACTTGGACATTGAGCCATTGACTGCAACTCTTTGAGTGTGACCATCCAGCCACACAGATGGACCATCCATTCCAGTCATTCCAGTTCATAGTGAGCCAGCGTGTACACTGCAGTTGACAGTGTTACAACAGAAGAGCCAGGAAAGAATCTGAGGAGATTCAAAAACTGCTCTTGCCTGGAGTCAGTTCCCACTGGTGAGGAGAGAGGAATTTTGAAGTTCTTTCTCGTCATACCAAACAGATCCCCAGCATGCTGAAATCAATACAGCTACCTTAATTTAATCAAGCTAATGTCAATTATCTAATGTGAAATATAATCCCCAGTAAACATACTCTGTTAAGTTGCTCGTACCTGGACATTAGCAAGTTTCATGAAAATCAGTTCTTTCAGATTCCTCCTTAATTACTCCATGTACTTATAAAACTTAACCAGACAGAAGCTAGAGTAATGAGAAATGGCATGGTAAATCTCAGTACGGCCCCGGGAAGTTCGTAAAATTGTCCCTAAAAGTTCAGGGAACAGAATTTGACTTTTTGGCAATTTTTGGTTTCATGATCACTAGATCCTGATAGAGGAAGATACTCAACCTATCCCGTCCTGGTTCAGGGCTGGACAGAAACAGCTTGGCATCTTCCAATGAGCTGTACGACCTTAGAGGTTTCTTTTTATCAAGCCCCTGCTTCCTTTCACAGCACGTTTGGCCATATCACACACAGTGGGGCAGGAGGCCAAGAAATGGTCTTGGAGTGGAAAAATCTAGCTGCCATTTCTATTAACTCATCCAGCAGAATCACCTTCTCAGTGACTGTTAAAGCAGCTGCATTTTTCTTCCTGATGATTTGGCTTTTATGGGCAGACAGAGAATGTTTTTAATATATCTTTGAAAAATCATCGGTTTTAATAATAAGTTACTGTTTGAAGAGTAGCGTGTGAAAAAATACATTCACAGCATGGATCTGGCCAGACTGGTCAGACACTAAAGCTTTCCTTCACACTGGATCTTGGGCTGAAGCACAGCTCAGTGCGAACCTGCTGGAAGAACAACTCCTAGTGTGATGGCCTTAGTCTGACAGCATACAACCAGGGCTTTAACACCAATGCTGCTGTGATTAGATGCTTGGGCTTTGTATGTGGTTATGAGCTACCTGACCCTTCATGAGATCACAAAAGCCCCTTTTCAGACTTGTTTTTTTCTAAGGATGCAGTGTTCGTATATCCATAACGTGGTAGATTCTGTCTTAAATCAGAGTTGGTTGTTTTCCTAGTAACGCTATATTCTAGTAAGTCTTGTCGTCTGGACTACTGATCAGATCACACTAGATCATATATCAATCAATATGGTCCCTCCTGGCTTCAAAGTCAGTGAATCTAAGTATATTCACCTACAAAGCCTCCATTGAAGTATTTTTAGTGCTGAATTTAAAAGCAATATCTGATTTGAGGTACCTACCGGAAAAGAGCAGCCTGTGTAGGCTGGCTAGCAATAAGAGAGAATGTTGCAATTCCCTGGCCTTACCTTCACACACAAAAAAGAAAGGAAGGTCAGATAAGGACAGATAGTATTTTTATGAGGAAGGAAGGTTTGCAATCTCGTAATCTGCAGCTGCTGCACCAAAACAAGTCATCAGGAGTTTTCAAACCTCACAGTTAATGTGGCCTCTCTACTGAGCTGTTGTTTTGATTATTTACTCTGGTTTTCACTCTCATCCCTTTTTTCCTCATCTCGTGCAATAAAAACTCCATGCACTTCACGGCTTATTGGGATGCAGAAAAAGACTGGAAAAGACACAGAATTTGTTTCTGATCAATTCTATACACATATCCAGTTTCTGCTCTCATCACAACTGGGATGCACTTAGATTTCTAGTTGTTCACTTATTTTCATAGAAAAACTGAGATTCAGATACTTTGCCCATGAAGACCTGACTAGCAGAAATGGAAAATTCTACAGTAAGAGCCCAACCTGACCCTGATGGAGGAACACACAGTCATCTCCTTACAGGGAGTGGAGAGGAGAATTAAACCTGTAACAGTTCTGCAGGCCCATCTTCAGGCAAACACTGAATACTATACTAATGCTTTTTAATGACTTGAACTTGTAGCAATACTGAAGAAGCAGGTGCTGAAATCCGACTCTTTTAATTTTATTGCATCAAGGCTGTGGCTTTTGAACACCAGATACTGCTATGAAGATAAACCATCTAGTTAGTGTTCTAGCTCCTGGCAAAAGCAGCCAGAATCCCTGGGTTAGGAACCTGCCTGACGCCACTCAGCAGCAAAGCGTTAGTTATACCTCTGCACAGTATCAGCTTTCCTGCCTCGTTGCGTTGTGCACTGCCTTGCACACCATTGCCACAGTTTGCATTCAGACCTCCCCAAAGCCCAGGCAGCTTTAAATGCCTGAGCCTCTCTACCCACCGCCTGTGAAGAGGGCATGTGTCTGGCAGCAGCAGGCAGGGGAAACAGCAGTGGCTGGTAGGAACCTGGAAAGGATCAGGGCACCACAGGGGCCAAAGTCTCTTGAGCGTATCCAGGTGCCAGCAGAAGCTCTTTTAAAAGTCTGAAGCAGAGAAGATGGATTCTGTAGGAATCAGGCTTTGACCAGAAAACATTTCAGCCTCCAGAGGTCCGGATGAAGGAGACTTTAAGCAATGTTTTGCACACAAAATATTTGCTGTCTGCTGTTGGGATGATTTTCTAATGCCCGGGGATCTAACACAAATTATCTCTCCAGTTTCAGATGGAGGCCTTATTCCTACTTCCAAGTCAAAGCTGGGGAAACATTTTGCTATGCATTCTTAAACGGGTGCCCCATTACATACCAGAGCTGGCTGCATTTTAATATAGAGGAAATTGCTCTTGTGCTCGTATAATTTATAAACCACTTCAGGATCAAAACCATTTCTAAGATGGAGTAAAAAGGTCTCAGATAGGTTTCATAGGGAAAATGATCTGTTCCACAGCTTAAATTTATAGCTTCTTCCTCTCTTTAAGCTCAGATTTGGAGACAAGTGTTGCAAATTTTAACATAAGACATGTAGACGCTCATGTGTTTCATGTCAAGCTGTTGGACACAATGAAGTGATGGGAGAATCCCATCCTTCATTTTTAAAAATTACGTTTCTGGTAAGAAACACTATAAAAATGAGACCAACTACACCCAGAATATCAGGAAAAAAAGGCAAGGTAAATAAAAAGATATGAAGCTCATTGTATGCATAATGGTCTAATGGCTTGGTCAGGTGAAATGTTTAATTTTGAGTTGACAGCATTGTGGAATTCAGCTGAAAATGTGTATGAACTAATGGACAGAAGAAAACATGCTGTGATCTCCTTGCTATACTGAACACACTCCATCACTACTGATGACATATCTTATAATTCCTAGAAAGCACAGTTTAGGAGTCAAGAAACTGTAATGATAATTTCAGAAAAAAGACTTTTAAGTCTTTTTGCCTAATTTCTGTATTGTTGTTCACAGGATTTCTATGAAGGTATCCTGAAAATACTTGGAGAAGGAGATGAAAATGAACAGGAGGAAGTTAAACTCAAGCAGGGCTTAAGTGAACTCCCTGAAATTTATGAATTACACCAAGATATCCTGGGAGAACTGGAAGAAAGAGTCCTTAAATGGTAAGTATGGAATGGCATAGTTTGATGGGCTTAAATTACCTTCCACAGCAGGTAGGTGAACTTGTCAGTGTTCCTTTAACCCCACTAGCAGGAAGGCTCGGTTTCCAGCAGAGATGAAAGGAGTAGAACCTGAGCTACTTTGGCAGATTTTGCATTCAGGCAGCAAGTAAATGTAGAGGCTGTCAGGCCAAGAAACCAAATACTGAAACATTTGCAGAGTGCACAGCCCATGACTTTGAAATGGCCCGGTCAGTCAGTGTGAGGACAGCCTGCTTCATATGCGTTATCCTCTGATGCCAGTTCATAGTCATTGCCAAGCAGTTTCACACTCATGGCCTGAAGGTCACAGACTTATGCCATGGGAGGCAGGAACAGCAGAAATCAGAACTGATCCTAAAGAAGATCATCTGCTTATGGAAATCTACATAGAAACTGCGCAGCTCTCAGATAAGGATAAGGAACCCCCCTCGCTCCCAGCACCAAGGCAAGGCTCTGCACAGGCTAGGCTTCCGAGCCAAACAGACACGGTCAGCCTGCTGAGGGGCTCCACCTAAGCCAAACATCCTCACAGGGCAAAGTTTTTCCATGAGAAAATAAGACCATGCCTAGACAGGCAAAGCTCCAGAATTCATTCAGTTAAGCAGACCTCTGACTTAAGCCAAGTTGCCAGGCCCTAGTCTATCAAACTGGTGGAATAAGAATGTCTAACAGAAATTACCTCTGCATATCCAAACTGACTAAACCTACAGCAGCCAGCACAGCCCCTAACCTAGACTGAACTACTCTGGCTCTGACAGCTTATGATGGTCCATGGAGCCCCACACCTCCACCCTGCTGGACTCCAGGAGGCAGTGGTCACTGGCAGTGGCTGATCCTATCCCAGCACTGCCACTGCGCAGATAAGGAAGTCAATTAGATCAGAACTTTTTTGTAACAGTCCTAAATGCAGGGCATAGCTCTCCTGGTCAGCCATGCACTTTCAAGTCAAAGCACGTAACAAGAGAAGACTAAAGGAAACTGCATATTGGTTCATGTCCACCACAGGAATGTTACAAATGGCAGAAAGACTTATAAAAAATAATCAATGATTTATGATTTATACACTCATAATACAAACAGAAGTGGTGTTTCCAGCTGGGATCTAAAATGACTGTTGTGTCCTAAAGAAGTCACAGCCCTACTCTAGCAGCATGCTGCCTGTTCCCTAAGACAAAACAGACAACTGGAAACGCCCTTAGATTCTGTCCAGAACTACTCTGTGGCACTGGGAAAAAAAGACAGCCGTACTGCAAATGCTGCCAACACAACAGAATGACACACGGCATAGGGCTGCGCTCCTACAGGTTCCCCAGTCACCATCACCCTTGAATATTCCCTAAGTCCTTCCCTGTGCCTGTGCTCCCCCAGATACTCTGTTGCTCTGACATCCCCAGGAACTCATGTTCCTCTCTTAACTATGATTACTCTTTTGTGATCTCAGATTTTGTCTTCTTCTCTCCTTGTACATGCTTCATAAATATTTCAGTACTGTGCTACTGGGTGCTGAGACAGATGATGGTGGGGCAGTGCTGAGAAGGGGGCAATGAAGGAGAGCTGAAGATACAATGTTACAGAATCACAGAATCACAGAATGGTAGGGGTTGGAAGGGACCTCTGTGGGTCATCTAGTCCAACCCCCCTGCTGAAGCAGGGTCACCCAAAGCAGGCTGCACAGGATCACGTCCAGGTGGGGTTTGTGTATGTCCAAAGAAGGAGACTCCACAGCCCCTCTGGGCAGCCTGTTCCAGTGCTCCGTCACCCTCAAAGTAAAGAAGTTCTTCCTCATGTTCAGACGGAACTTCCTGTGCTTGTTTGTGCCCGTTGCCCCTTGTCCTGTCGCTGGGCACCACTGAAAAGAGCTTGGCCCCATCCTCTTGACACCTACCTTTAAGATCTTTATAAGCATTTATGAGATCACCTCGCAGCCTTCTCTCTTCAGGCTGAACAAGCCCAGCTCCCTCTGCCTCTCCTCCTAGGACAGATGCTCCAGTCCCCTCACCATCCTCGTAGCCCTCCGCTGGACTCTCTCCAGTAGCTCTTCATCTTTCTTGAAGTGGGGAGCCCAGAACTGGACACAGTACTCCAAATGAGGCCTCACTAGGGCAATGTAGAGGGGAAGAAGAACCTCCCTCGACCCGCTGGCCACACTCTTCTTGATGCATCCCAGGATGCCATTGGCCTTCTTGGCAGCC